CAGATGTGCTTTCTCCACCTAACAAAAGGTTTTGTACCATCCTCAGCAATTCTCGTGTTACAAGTATGGTTTAGAAAATGTACATCTTTTTAAGGCTGTCTGTGGCTGATATTCTTCCTCCAATCTATCACTTAAACGTTCCTATTTTGTCAACCAGTTTCATACTTCTGTTCTCTCACCATTTTGAAATTATTACTATTATATATTGCATTTTTGGTCTGACTGTTGCGATCATTTAACTGTAGGTTCACTAATAGAAATTGTCCTTTTTCTTTTTTTCTTTCTCTTTCTTCTCTTTATTTTTCTTCTTTTTCTATTTCTTTTTCGTCTTTTTCTTTTCTTGTTCCTTTTCCTGAAGTACACAATTTGTCTCCTCTCAGTTTTACCTGTAATTTCCCATTCTTTGGGAAGCCCTAATATCCGTACAGTGCTTGTGTTCTCTGGTTGTGGCTCCATGAAGCTGAGCCATGACAAGAAATCCCTCCGTTTGCTGGTAGCAAATGCAGTCAGGTCACTTGGAATGTAATCCCTTGGAAAGCTCCACTCTCTGCTACAGTATTATAATCCTCTGTAATGTTTTGCATGCCTGTGTCTCTTTCATTTGCTTAAACGCTGTCCAATTCCTTTGTTGATAACTAACATATTTTACGTGTTTTTGCCTGTTGATTTCTTTAATCATCCTGCCACTATTTCACAATAACACACCAGCATAGCATGTAACTGCGCTCTGATTCAGTGATGTAAAGAGAGAGAAAATAATATAACCATTTTATTCAAATAATTACTCTGGATATGTACTAATGTTTTCCTTTTAGCTGGCCAAGACAAAAGCATCTCTAACTAGAATCCAGACTGAGCGTTACCTCAGTTTGTTTGCCCTGAATTTCTCACTTTTGCCAAGACTGGAGACTCCTCCCTCTAGGACATGGAGTGAAAGGGATGCTCAAGCGAAGACCATATCTGTGGGGAGCAGAAGAACTGTATGATTCCTAAGCCATTCCCCATGGAGGACAGCAATGTTCTGTTTTATTTCTGTTTTATTTCTGTTTGCCCAGTCTGAAGAAATTTATAATGGAGTTGGACAAAAGTATGAGAACAAATGCTTTACATTTTGGAGAGAGTGGAAGGTCGTGGAAAATGCATTTCATCTTTTGGGTTCAAGAAACTGTGTTTGATTCTCTAATTAAAGTACGAACATAAGTGTGAGGTTCTAAGAGGTTTGGGTACAGCTATGCCACTGTCTTCTCTAGGACAATGGCAGTGGAAACACCATTTGGGAAGTACATGTGTTCCACTTAGCACAATGTGTTCCTCTGGCTGTTCCCTAAGAACCACAACTGCTGGATTAGGGATGTCAGAAGGTACATTGCTGTATATTTCCACTACTATCTGTCTACAGTCTGACTGTTCCTGAATTTGGATAACTCCACATTTATCCTGACTCCATATTTCATCTTCTATGACAACAAATTCTGAAAATTCACTATTCTCTGGAAAAAAAAACAAAAAACAAAAAACCTGACTTCTGACTTTCTTCTGTCAGTTTCAAACCAACCTCTTATTAGTTTCGTTGACCGACTCCTAATCCTTGTGTTATAGCAACAGAATAACAGTTATGCATCTGTCCTCCCTATTCCCTTCCTGTTTTTGTGAACCTTACTCTTTGTCCTTAACCCTCTTTCCAAACTGATGAGTCCCAGCCTGTGGAGCTTCTTATCAGGCACTCAGGAGATGTGAGGGTCTTAGCTTCCCTTGAGAAGACAATAAACACTATAAAGATTACTGAAAACTCAAGTAATAGCAAGCTTAGGTAAAATAAAATAAGCTTAGTGAGCAGGCTTGTATGAGATGTTATGTGCAGCCCACAAGGCAGGCTATCACAGTCATTTCAACCAAAAGAATCCCAGGGACAGGTTTTGTTTGCTCACTGTTAGGAACTGGTCATGTGTATAGTGTGTCAAATATTTAGTAGAACCTATCAACTCCTTAAAAAATACTTTTAGAGTGACCATCATCATAGATGCAGAGAGTAGTGGACCTTTCATATGATGGATCTACTAGTGCACCAAAGAAGTATCCAAGTGTTGACCATTATATTGCTTTGGTGAGCACAGAACACAGTTTTAACCATATCAAAAATTTACCTCAAGTCTTGATTGACCGACCAAATGTGCTAATGCTGTGTGCAACCAAAAATGTTTCTGTTTGATCCTTGAAGAAAATTCACTGGTGGTCAAGACAATAGCATGGTGGAGTGCTGATCCTCAGCAGCAACATCACAGGCAATTTAATGACATTGGGTAGACTTTCTGAGTTTGGTGGTATTCACTGTCTTACATTGACAAATGTACACTGACAAGGTGAAGGGAGAGAAGATGTACTGCATTATATAAATTGCCATCTGTGTCATCTTTTCATGTGCCATTGTGTGCCTCCGAAAGTATTTTCAGTGTCATCACCAGGTGCTGGTGAAGTGTTGGAAATGCTGGTGAGTTTGAGTTGTTCTCCTCTAGACCTTCAGCATGCGCAGCTACAATACACATTTGGTGTCACACGCGGAGTTAACTGATCTTAGTAGTGGTCTCTTCAGGTTTTTTACTGCATGAAAAACAGACTTTAGGGAAAAGAACAGAGCAGTGGTTCTAAGCTGCTGCACATCCCCAGATCTGACTCTCCCTCCCGCTCTAGCTGCCAATGCGCTGTTCTCACAAGGCTCACCAACACAGTTATGAATGTCAGACTGTTTCTCCTCAGAGAATATACTTCCCCATGGAGGAGCTGAAGAAGAAAATGTCTCTGTGTCTCTGCCTCCAGCCCTCAAAATTCAGAGTGTGATTCCACGTCCTGTCTTTCATTTCTCAGAAAAAAAATCTCTCCGCTTTCATAGCTGCCCTTGATAAAGCAAAGCTTTCCCACTCCGTTTTTCAGAGATTTTGTCTCTTTCTGTGAACCTGAAATCCACCATGGGGATTCCAGTCCCCCCCCCAGCAGCTGTTATTCCAAGAGAGCTTAGAAATTTGTCAGAGGATCTGAAAAACATAGCAGCCGTAGGAATTCACACCAGAAATAGATGCTGTCTGAACAGCTTTGCTTTCTCTAGACACTGCAGTGAAAACACTGACAGGCAATTGGGGAAGAATTCATTCAGGAGGTTCCTCTGCTTCCCCCACTTTAAACATTGCTCTAGGTTTAAGGAAGAGAACTGCAATTAACCATTCTCAGAGTGGATTTACAGCACAGCCACGCACTGAGAACTCACTTCTGCAGATATTGACAAATTGGCTCTGACTCCTGCCCTTACTGCAGTAGCACTGCAGCCAACAGAACTATGCGTGTAAATGTTGAGACATCAGGCAGACCTCCTGTATTAGGTATCCTGCTTTTTTTAGTGGGGGCCAAGCTTCTAAAGAAACACATGGCAAAACTGAAGGAAAATTTATCTTGCCAAGCCTCCAGTTATGCTATTTGTAAAAATCTAGATATGAACAAGCAAAAGGAATTTGCTTGAACTCCCTGGAATTCATACCTCTTATTCCTGTAATCGTCGAATTGTTCCAGCTCTGTATCTGGGAACGTGGTTCTGCTGAGGGCTCAGATACAGAGCCGGTAAGTTTGCTCCCTTGTTTAGAGAACATCTTTTGTGGTTGTGTCTTCCAGCAGCCACATTGCAAACCCCATTCCTCCAAAATACTCTGGATTAGATTATTTGCTTAGGTAACTTGGCAGAGCACCATGCCATTGTTGGATATTTGATGTGAACAGAGGGTAAGCACATCTGGGTCCTTTATTTCCCCAGGTTAAAAAAGAAAAAAGCCCTCTTAACAGTTCATTGTTGTAAAACCTCAGAGTCTGTGGGCCGTTTTTGGCTGCAGCTTCCATAATGATGGAAAACTGTACTCAGCTGCAGAAGTGTGAGAACTGAGTCCTTCATAAATATTCTTGAATATTCCTTTCTGTAGATTTGACCATCGGTAAATCTTTCCCTCGTACAGATTTTGGTCCAGTAGTCCCCATAGTTCTGTTATAATTTGAGTCATATGCTGCTTTCCTAATTTTTTGTCTAGTCATTTTAAATATTTTTGTATGGTATTCAGACAACAACAGCGAATCTTGTAGCTATTATTATCTTTGCAATTTCCCCTGAGTGTTAGCGAAGTCTACATAATGCAGAGCCCATCCACCACTTCAAAGATATTGCATTCCAAAGCTATTAAAATGAGAGGCTTTTATTTGGGATGTCTTTTAATTTAACAGTGAGGATGAAGCTTATTTCTCTGCATTTTTGCAAGGTAAAAATAAATCTAGAAGACACACACACATGCCGTGCTTGAAAAATAGCAGCATTCTGGTAAGATGCTTGGGTAGAGTTGATCATTTATAGGGGTATTTTACATGCAGCATCTCCGTTCTGGAGAGTTAAGCAATTTCCATGACTGAAATTATTTGAAATCTTGTGTTCTGTAAGGCCAAGGACAAATATTCAAAAAACAAGGACTAAATTAAGACTGAAAAGCTAAGGTTCACAAAATGGCTCTTTGCTGTCTCATTTTGGGCAATTAAGTTAAAAAATTCTGAAGATGCCTCATGTGAGTGCTAAGTAAGTGAATTTCAGAAAGTGCATATAGAGAACTAGACCCATTAAGATCTCCTAGTGTCTTTAATTATTTACTTAATTCACTTAGAATGAGGATTTCAGTGCCTGACTTTAAGATATCACCGTCTTAAATTCCTGCCCTCATCCTTCTGCAGTGATAGTATGTTTAATGCCACGTTAATCTGTGGCATTTTTGTCACGTGAAAATCTCAAATACTTGCTTTTCTTCATACCTTCTTAGCACTTCTAAAAAGACTGTCAACCAAGTCTAAATCACTGAAGGCTTCCTATTCCATAGGATACACAGCTCTGATGTATGCATTAGGATATTTGGGTAGTCACTGAGGTAGTCCCACCAGGTTACAGAGAAGCAGATAAGCACTGTACTTTTTTATTCATGGCACATTTTTATTCACATAATAATTATTAAGTAAACTGAGGAGGAAATCTGGTGCAGGCAACAAGACAACATCAAGACTGTATACAATATATACTACAAGACAAAGAACATTTATTTCCTATCAAATTCTGCCAGTATTCAGTCTTCCAGCTTGATCTTGTAAGCAGCTTCTTTCAAGATTTAGAAAAGGAAGTTCTGAAGTAGGAAGCTCTAAAATGGCTTTTTTTTTTTTTTTTTTTTACTATCATTTAAGCAAACAGAGATCACAGACTTCACTGCTTTCCCTTTCAGATGCAGGGCAGCCTACTTTCCTTCTCCCATACTCATGTTATTGACACAAAAGAAGGGAAAAACTCAGAATTCTTGTCTAATGAGAGATACTTGTCCCAGTCCAATAAACACACCACCGGTATAAAGAGGCAGGTCGGGATTCTCCCCACATTGCAGAATGCTGATGCTCTTCCGAAGACTTCTGCTTCCAGTCACTGTTCCAATTGGTTCCTATCACTTCCAGCACTGCACATACTGCTAGCTGCTGCCACATGGCCATTCCTGTTGAGCCTGCAGAAAACTCACAATTTTTTTGCTGACAGCATAACCCATAAGACTGCAGTGTCATGCAAGCAATTTCTCAGGTTCTTTTGTTTCAACTTTTTTTGCTCTGTTTTCTTAGAATCATTGAAAAGTTCTTACTCTTCTCTGCTTCTTTACATTTTACAGAAGGTGCAGTCAACTGAAGTCATTCATCTATTTCACCTCCAACCTGTTCTCAGCGGCTATCTCATCAGCTCCACATTCCACAGCAGCCTTGCCTTTCATCTTACTCATTCTTTGGTGTGGCTGTTTGATGACTGGAGCAAGAACTACTTGTTCATGTATGGACTCCTTAATCACCAAGCGTCTAGAGCAGAAATTCTAGTGTTTTGCCTTTAATAATACCCAGTGACCTTGCACTGGGTATTGCGGCACTTCATCTTGTTCCTACTCATCTACTAAAAGCTCATTAGTTCTTCTCTCGTAACAATCAGATCCTTTTCCATTTTGCTTCTCAAATTTGTCATCCTCAAACTGTTTGATTCTTCCATGTGTGTAAAAAAGAGACTAAAATAGTACAACATTTTAGGGTGAGATCATGTGCCTTCCTACCAGCTGTGGCTCCTGTGCCGTAAACTCATCACAGCTACCTCCAGCACCCAGGGCTTTGCATTTCAGCATGCTCATCCTCTGAAACATCGGAAGCAGTTTGTGTATCCTCCTCTCCTTTCTGATGTGAAATTCCCAGCTGCGCATAGCTAGAGCAGAGCCAGGTGAATGGCTGTCTTACTCTGTCCGACAGATGATATGCCACATGCACACAGTGCCAACCCACTTTTTGTAAGGAGCTCAGTAGGAATTGGCAGACCTCCAAGTCCTTCCTCAATTAAGTTTTTCAAAATCAAGTAAATTTCATAGATCTCCAGTGCTCTTTTTTCTCTTTGTGTGATCATTATTCTCGCTGTTACTCTTGGTGGCAACATACCTTCAGGGAACGAATACCCTGCCGTATCCTGGTTCTCTGTAATACTGTTTTTTTCATCCTCCTTAACCCCTCTGCCAGTTTTTGCATAGCCAACATTCTTTAACAGAAGATGAATCAAGGAGATTCACAACTTCAGATTCTAAATATATGAAAGTCAGCAGAGGTCACTGTGAAGAGCAGAAACTCTTCTTAAATATAAATTGAGTACACAAAAGCTGGCAGTACCTTTTGGAATTAAAAATCTCCACAGCACAAATGCAATTAATGTGATCATGAAGTAAAAGCTACATTAACATCTGAAAACAAAATATGATCTGTGTCACAGACATTGGTAACTAATAGGAGAGAGGTTTGGGGAACTGAGACTCAGAGAAGATTGTCAGCAATACGGAAAGATTGCTTGTTTGTTTGCTTTTGAAAAAGCTTTGATTGAGATTCTTCTGATGTGAGAACCTTGACTTGGAAGCCTTCCAAGCACAGACATCACTCAGAATTCTGCAGAAATTCTGTGGATGTAGAACTTGCAGGATTACATCAGGTACACAGCACACCTGCACATAAACAACTGCATCTGCTTCTCTAGCAGTGATTTGGAGATCTGTAGGCAGAACTGTAGGCTAAGTCATAGAAAAATCTAAAAAGAAGACACTTTCCTCTTGACTGAAGTTCTGGGCTCAGGTTCTAGCCTTCATTTCAGCTTAAATGCACTCTTACATATAGAAGATGCAAAGACAACAATATTCTCTTTATCCTATAGCTGTGATGCTCTTGATCACAGAGCGTCACAAAATCATCAGACATTTTTCAGGCTGCCCATTGGCAGTTCTGCTCTTTACTCTTCAAATACACTTTGTAGGTATCTTCTCTGAAATTCACATTGGGCAAATGTTAAAAAAATGGATTGTACCTTAGGTTACTGGGGTTTGTTTTCTGTGGATTTTTGTTTTTTCAGCAAGAGCGCAGAATCTAAAGGAGAAAAAGCTGCAAATTACAGCTGACAGGTTCAATGCTCTTATAACTATTTTAATAAAAGATGTTGTGATTTCGCGTAGATAACAGCCTTGTAAAAGCAGCTTAGGTGAACTGAGAAAATAATGGTAACAGTTTTGCAAAACTTTACTTGCAATTTAAAATAATTTGGGCGATGGGGAAAATGTGTCTGACTCTGAAGACTACAAAGTGTTCCAAACTACATTAAATTCACAATTGCAGAATCTCTGCTTTTGTGCAATACAGTGGCAGTAATTTCTACTTTAATAGCTGGCAAGGGCAGATTAACATCAAGTATGGAGAAACTAGGCAAAACACCTTTTGCAAGTAAATCCTGCAATTTTTCTCATTTGCCAGAACAAAATCTGTAGTTTAGAATATACACTTAGCTTGCATTCACAGGCTTAACACATAATATTATTACCAGTGTGATAACAGGGTAGTATATTTTACAGTATCGAAGTTTTAACTCTGAGACTCTTTGGAGAAGGCAGGCAGAGGACTTTAACGACATATTAAAGGACTCAGGAAAGAAACTAGTAGCAATCTACAGCACAAAGAGTGGCACTCTTGTCCTTTGACCAAAGACTTGATCACCTGAAACAAGCTGCGTCACTTCTGTTTGTACATGACCTATAATTACAGCACTTTTTATTTTATGCTATTTCGATAGAAAGCTTGGCATAAAAAAAAAAATCATCCCATCACATTAAATAGTCACCAAATTCCTAAAGCCTACCTGAAAAGCCATCTCAAATTGACTGTCAGCAACCCACAACTACCTTTCAAAAGTAGTATTGCTGATCATTTGTCCTCCTCTATCCTCACCTTCTAATGATTTTATCTAGGATGTACTTGTTCAGTTACTTACAAGTATCAACAGGGAACATAGTAATATTTACTGCTTCATCTGTATCTAGTAGGCAATATGTAGAAGAAGGACATTAGTTTGGTTTGGTATCACATGTTGTTGATAGAGGCACGTCAACAAGTTTTTATCGCCTTTCATTTAGAAACTGGTAATTTTTTTCTGAAATCCAGGAAGTTAGGCTACCTAATTAAAATTACTTGGGTACTCTTCCATCGATTTTTCTAAGAGTTATTTATTCAGTCTTCTGCTGTCTCTTCTATCCTCCATGAGTTTTCAAAGCCATGTGAAATACCTGGAAACAGTTCAGAGTTTACTTAGGCTAGTTCCTGAATCACTTCAGTAGTCTCTTCAAAATATAAGTTACAACAAATTAGAATCAGTAAAGTTACAGCTGAGAAAATTAAAAAATTAAATGTAAGTTGAATATCAGCAGATAGATGAGCAGTAGCAGGATACAGACATAGACATCCTCGGATGCTAAATGTAGACCCCACAAGATCAACAGAGCAGAACTTTTGTCTTTAAAAAAGTAATTGATGATCAACTGAAAACCATCCAAATAATGCAATAATATTTGCAGAAAATATTTTAAAAATAGCTTTTGTCTTCAAGAGTTATTTGCAGCTCTGTCATCAACCCTTCACAGATGATATAATACTTGGTTCTCATTGAGGTACCTCAATCCTTTCAAGCAGTCTCCTGTTTCTGAAGAAGAAATAGACTGCATAGTTGTTAAGCAATTTCAATTCCACTTAATATGTAATAATTGCTAACCTATAGTTTATTCAATATAATAATTCAATAATTCAAACTTGCTTTCCACTTGCTTCCTCTACTCAGGTTTGATAGAAGTACTTGGCTCTTTTGGGTGCCAGGATGTTATCACGTGTCATGGACAGCTGTTCTGAGTAAATCTGGGGTAAGATCACACCTTAGACAGTGCCTGGTTTCCAGCAGTTGGTCTGCAGGCTCTGCTGGTCCTCAGTCCTCCACTATTGCCACAGCCACTGGACCTTCTCATTGCTTATCAAGTGGGATGCTCCAGGCAGACCTCAGGTCCTCTGAGTCAATACAGCTGTCTCTTTTGCTGCTGTGGAGAACAATAAACAATAAACTCCCCCTTCATACTCACCATCTGCTCTCAACTAAGCTTACGAGCAGCTGATAGCATGGTAAGAAGCCTCAATAAGTACACAGGTTGTTCCAAAAGTAATACCTCCTATTTATTTCCATGGAAACAACAAGAGATACAAAGAACACAATAATACTATTTGATAGATCAAATTCTCAAACATATTTCTCAACATAGTCACCATCATCAGCAGATTCATGTGGATGAGCTGATCAAGATGCTCTTCATTTCATGGGTTGGCATCTGTGCGGGCAGCTTGGAACATGGTTTGTCTTTCACGTCACTGTTGCTACTGCTGAAATGCACCACCCACCACCTCACTGTGCTCACATCTACTGTTTGGTCTCCATAAATGTTCAGCAAGTGCCAATGAATGTCAATGGGTGCAATTTTTTCTGTCTTAAGGAATTTAATTCCACACCTTTGCTTCATATGCACTTCCATGTCAGATGTCGTTCTGTCAGACTGGCCCTCTGCTGCCATCTGTCACACAGCAACAAAATATGATGGAATATTGGTGGAAGGTTCAACCTCTGCTGCCATACCACCAACATCTGCTTCTGACATCACAAACATAATAAAAGAGGAGGCATTACTTTTGGGGCAGCCCTTGTATTTTCAGCCACCACAGGCAAGCAGCCTCTGTCACACCAGCCAACTTGCCTTTGTGTTACAGCTGATTTGCTATGGATCCTGACTAACGTTCTATGGGTACATCTTTTGTGTTACATAGAGGCACAGAGAGGGCTCACAGACCAGAACCAGCATCATACAGTCCCTGGCTGTGCTACAGACTGCTAAAACTAAATTTCTCCATTCCAGATCAGACAGATAGAAGCTATACCCAAGCCACATAAACATGAGACCTTAAACACTATGAACGCTATATCAATATGAGATCACCCCAAGTATTATGAACATGAGCCAATCTGTGTATCACGGCATCCTGCTGCTGGAACAATTTGCCTCCTTGCACACAAGCAATTCAGATGCTGTTCCAGGCAGGGTCTAGTAGCAGACTAGAAGTCCGTGCTGAGTGCAGTCAGGTGTTCTCCTGACAATGGCTGACTCCTGTCTGAATGGAGCCAGGTGGGGGCCGTTTTCCAAATAGCAGCTTGATGCACAGCTTCTGCAGGATTTTTATTACTATTATTCCTTTGTGAGTGGCCGTGCAGACCCTTTTGATGTAGTGGCAGATGAAGGACCTCTTTACTAGCAAATATGCAAAGACTGCTATGATATTTATACAAGTAGTGTAGATGTTTTTCTACTCCATAATTGCCAAAGGCAGATATCAGTGGAAACAGAGCAACGCTGCCAAGTACAGTGAACTTTGGATTAGGACTTCCACATTTTTATGAAAGGATCTCAGAACCTTTTTTAGTGAAGGTCTGTGTACCACTGTACCTCTGTACACACACGTACCAGTGCTCCTAGCTTAGATCAGATTCTATACTTTTAGCTACTACAATACCAAAGACAAATATTTAGAAAATAATCCTTCTTTCCCTTATACAAAAACATTTGCAATCAAATATCATAAATGGTATTCTGAGCAAGGGAAGTAAACACTATTTGAAATAATGGCAATGTGTTACAGAAAACAGTAATTTAAAATTTTATAATTCCTTTCTTTTTCAAAGAAATAATTATATACACTTTACCATCACCAGCAGTATTAAAGATGTTACAATTTAAGACAATTTTAATTAATAAATCATAGTGCTGGTACAAAGTGTTACTAATATTAGCCTTAAGCAGTAGTCTGGGAAAAACAAGAAGGTATATGATGCTTCTTTAACATTGTTGGAAAACATGTATTTTTAAAATATTTTATAGGTTAAAATACTGATAATTCTCTATTTGTTTCTTTAGTAACGCTGTGAAGTAATGTCTTTGCCATTCTTTTGAACTACATAACAATAATTATTTAAAATTATATCAGTCAAATTGCACTTAAAAATACAAGACTGAGTCCCTAATAAATTTTTCTGGTTTTTGAAGTAAGCCAGATAAAATTAACTTTGCTAATCTTGACTTGTTTTATTGTACCCTCTCCCTCTCTTCTTATGTACAGAATCCATACAACAGAAAGTGTTAGGCAACCTTAACTGTAGTTATTGCTACAACTCTTCCCATAAAACTTAAGGTAAAATACGGGTATAATTAAACTGAGGGGAGTGCTCACACTGATTTCAGAGAATGAAAGAGAAAATAAGTGTTTCCTGAAATACAGTAATGTCTCCACAATAAAAATTTGTATTTACGTGGAGAGCACTGGTAATAATATTTCAGGAAATCCAATAATTGAAGTATTATATGAAAAAAAGCATAGATAAATGTCTCCAAAAATGTGGCTATGAATATAAAGATACATGTAAGAAGTCTATATTTGATTATTGCAATTATATGTGGGTTTATCTTTTTTAATCCATGCTATGAATGCTATCAAAACTGTTTGAAAGGAAAGAAAAAATGAAGTACAATTCTGGAACCACAAGGAAAATACTAACCACTAAAGCACACAGTGTAATTTCATTACTTACAGTGTTTTCAAGGGACTGTGAGACTTCTATTACTGTTGCAACAGTACCGTGGGATCTTATCACTGAAAGATATAAGAGCAGCCGAAGCACAGATCTCACCTAACAGTGAGCAAGTGCCTACTCATCAATGACTCATGTATACAATCTATTTTATGCAAAAGCAACCTTGCTTCAAACCACAAAACTACAAAATGTGCAAAGTTAGGCACGTACCTTTTCACCAGCCTAAGCTGCAGAGTCACAGTACTTGCACCAAGATATGCACATTGCTTTACAAAGAACATTAGTTTTGACCTGCTCTGGTTTTATTCACATAAAAGCATTATTTCAGCAGCCTACATACCATTTCTTTAATGAATCAAATCTTTATCAGGAAAAGGTAACTACTAACTTAGAAACTGTATTTTAACATCTTTCCGGTGTTGTCTCTAATGTCTTCACACGTCAGAATACTTTTTTCAACATTTAAGAAATCACAGAATCAGAAGGGACCTCAAGAGATCATCAACTCCAACCCCCTGCTGAAGCAACTTCCCTACAGTAGGTCACACAGGTGGTGTCCAGATAGGTCTTGAATAGCTCCCTAGGAGACTGCATATCTAGGGCCTGTTCCATTGCTCACCCTTACCTTAAAGAAGTTCTGCATGTTAGTATGGAACTTCCTATGTACCAGTTTTAGGCCCTGACTCCTTGTCCTATCCCTACATACCACTGAGAAGAGCCTGGACTCATACATTTGCCTCTCACCTCCATTCAGATATTTATAAACATGTATCAGATTTCCCTTCAGTCTTCTTTTTCCCAGGCTAAACAGAGTTGAGTTACTCAGCCTTTCCTCATATGGGGGATGCTCCAGGCCCTTTATCGTCTTTGTGGCCTTCTGCTGGGCTCCTTCTAGGAAATATCTGTTTTTTCAACTGGACACAGTAGCCTAAACGTGGCCTCACCAGGGCAGAGCAGAGAGGGAGGATGATCTCTCTCGACCTGCTGGCCACACTCTTTATCAACTTGTTTTTCTTCTGATTTTCAATTAGACTTAAAAAGTATTTCTGAAGTCTGAGGGAACTCATTACATACAGCAGCATTATGAGAGGTATTTGGGGACATATCAAATTAATGCATCTTCAGAATTTCACATAAATCTTCATTCTTTTCACTTCAAATGGACTCTATCATGATAAGCTTTTGAGTATCTTTAGTGAGTTGAAAATATTTGAAGACACACAATATTTACATCCTAGCTCCTAAATGCAATGATTGCTGTAAATTCTTTTTTATGAGCTGAATGGTATTATCTAGCCACAAAATTGCATTTGTTCTCATCCTTACTGGTGCATGAATGTTGACTGTCTGGTAGTGAGGTCAATTTCCATCATCTCCAAATCCTGTAAAATAACTGGACTTTCTGTTAACAAACAGCACAATGTCATCCTTGGGCTTCTTCACCACAGGAGGATATTTCAGCTTCCTTGAAACTGATATCAACTTACTCTTTATTTGCTTTGGAAGGGGAGTGGTTAGGCATGATGGAGTAATAGTCTCTCTAGTGTACATTAGAAATCCTTTAAATCTCCTCCCAGCCTTCAGAATAAACAACTTTGGTACAGAGCCTTAGAGACTCTGGGTAGAGATGAAGATATCAGCTGGCCAGCTTTTAAGATGGTCTAATTTCACCTTCCAGTTTTCAAGGTGTGCAAGGACTATTTTATTGCTTTCAACAAAATGTGTCTTCATTGTCATTATCCCCATCTGATTTTGAGTCTTTTCCTTGTCGTCAATGGGAGACAAATTGCTCTCACTTCTGTTACAATGAAATATAAGTGATATTCTTAACTGGACTGATGCTATTTTGAAGGCCTGGGATTGTGAGACCTTTTGTTTCAAGGCTTCTGTCTGACTGTGGGCAGAATTTAATTCACGCTCCAGTTCTTCACTCACAAAATAAAGCTGTGATATTTCCCATCTTTCAGTCTTGCTTGTTCAATTCCTCCAGGAAAGAACTACCCATCTATCATTAGTACAGTGCCTAGCCTACTAAAATCTTACTTTTGTTTGGCACTTGCTGTCAAATAGCATACATAGTAAATAAATCAGACATCCCCATGCCTTTGCTCCCCCACTATAAAGGGGGGCTTCTCAGCCCTCCCTCCATTCAGAAATCACTGGTCCCCCCCTGAGCCCTTCTACACACCATTTTAAGTCTCCAAAGACAAACTGGCAAGATGGGTGGCCCTCAGACTGGATGACTGAATCCATCTCTCAACTCTTATTCTATCTAAAGTAGTAAGAAAGGGCTTGAATTAACAGGAGTTAATTTAAGCCGTTACAAGAGTCAATGAATGCTGGCGTTAAGCCCAATGCTCTTGAGGGGATTGGAGTTCTAACAGAGACTGAATCCATGCTGGAACCTGGCCTAACACTCTTAAAAAACACTGATACGTGGAGGTGGATGTTCAGGGATGTGAAGCTGCAGGTTTACTTCCTATTTTAACATTTCACTTTGTAATAAAATCATAGAAGAAAATGAAGTTTAAGTCAGAAATTATTTCCTAAGTATCAGAGGAGTCCCATGGGCTTTGTTTCATGGTAGTATGTGTTCATTTTGTGATGTGATTACACATTATGCTCATTATGCCTAATAAGCAATAACTGCATTTAAGTATTGCTCTATTACAATTCAGTGGAGCATTGAATCTTACAGGAAAATTACATACTTAAGCATTTAAGAAAATCTTTAATTAGGCTTTTCGTTTTCTTTTGAAATTTTCATCAGTGCAAATATCTCTAGAAGAAAGTCTGAAGCCAACATGTAGAAAATACTTGTTAAAAAAACAGGTAAAGCTTGCTAAACAGCATGATTTGGGCCCCTCACTGCAAGAAAGATATTGAGGCCCTGAAACGTGTTCAAAGGAGGGCAACAAAGCTGGTGAGGGGTCTGGAACACAGGCCATATGAGGAGAGGCTGAAGGAGCTGGGAATGTTCAGCCTGGAGAAGAGGAGGCTCAGGGGAGACCTCATTGCTCTCTATAACTTCCTGAAGGGAGGTTGTAGTGAGCTGGGGGTCGGCCTCTTCTCTCGTGTCATTAGTGATAGGACCAGGGGGAATGGCTTCAAGCTACGGCAGGGGAGATTCAGGCTGGACATGAGGAAGTGTTACTTTTCAGAAAGGGTGGTCAGGCACTGGAACGGACTGCCCAGGGAGGTGGTGGAGTCACCGAGCCTGGGGGTGTTCAAGGAAAGGCTGGATGTTGTGTTGAGGGACATGGTTTAGTGGGAGCTATTGGGAATAGGTGAACGGTTGGACTGGGTGATCTTTTAGGTCTTTTCCAACCTTGGTGATTCTATGATTCTATGATTGCTGCTTGTGAAGGTCAAGGAAGAGAAAACTGTGCAGGGTGGGAAAGACAGCCTCTGAAATAAAATTTAAGTGCTGCAGATCATAGTAGTTGATGACGTTTGTCACCTCTGTTATGTTTACCAGATTGTCAGTGTCATTTTTATGGATCTTCGCTTTCTGACACAAACCACCCTGTACTGATACTGCACCAGGTGAAATAGGACTACCTCTTCATAGCCTTTCTGGCTACTTAGGCATACATTCTAGCACCCAGAATATAGGAGCCTGGTTACTGCAACATGATTGTGGGCCTTGTAAGCACAGCAGTAGCTGAGCACTCCTCTGAGATGCTACACACAGGGTAGCTAAGGACATCTCACCTCCCCACCAGCATTGCGTGCTTACAGCCATTGGGGAGTAGCTCGCCTTTCACTCAGCAGCTGTGTCTGTTCCAGTCAAGAATGTCATCCAAGGAAAGGCAAATGACCTACTTAGTTGTTCTTACTCAAAGAAAAACTGAAGATGCCTGGCAGGGTGCTGAATTCACCCCATTTACCTATGCTGCAGTCGTATGTTCAACATAATGGGATCTGGCATTCTGAATTCAAATCCCTCAGCTATCCTTTACAATGCTTCTGGGATGTTGCCAGCATCCATGAGGTGCATATTATTGCTAGACACAGAAAGGGAAGTACTCATAATGTGTTTGTGCAAATACTCTGTCAAGTAATAAGGCTGGGACAGAAAATATTTTGTCTGTCTGGAGAGAAGTAAAAACAAGGAACAGGAATTTGCTGTAAGTTTTACTGCTCTGCAGCAGAAGTGGGATTTTTCAGTATGTGTTTTATGCATGACAGGGATTTTGCTGCTATGTTTTACAGTGTCTGGGGATTATAGAGGATTTCTTGTATGAGTTACTTTCTGTGTCTCTGAGGATAAAAAAAAGATTTTGCAATGTGTATTACAGTCCACGGAAATGGAAACCATTCACCCTGCATGTTGCACTCTTGGGTGATTTTGCAATGAGCAGTCATTTATATTCCCCAGAGAAGGTGTTTTTGAAGAGTTTGTGTGCTGCTAAGGATTCAGGTGGCACATTCCTGAAGATGTCCCAGACACGTTGCTGAATGACATTCAATGGACAACACATACTAATGGAAGTCTGGATAAATTCTGAGATGCCACTATTCAGATGTCTGAAATTACCACATACAAAACTGAATTCATGTCTCTAAGTTCAGAGTGGTGAAGGACAGCAAACTAAAAGTCCTTTACTCCCACAGAGTAATCACCATTTGTCAGTAGATAGAAGGCAAAAAGGCGTTTCCATGTTTTCATGTCTCTAATACTTGCACCTCATTCAAAGAGGTGAATGGCACAGCTTACTACAACAGACAGAATGTGCTTTTTTTAACCAAAGTAATGGGAAACTGCCAAATGCCTTAAATTTAGAATGACCCTGAGCAATTCTCTCCAGCTTTTTCCACTCTCGCATTTGCCAGGTAAATACTCCAAAAGCTTGAATCATAGCATTACAAACCTACAAATGGTGTCTGGTTTCCCATGTGACCATATCACCAGTTCCCAGATGGCCCAATCATGGAATATGAATCATAGAATCACAGAACCTTTAGAGTTGGAAAAGACCACCAAGATCATCTAGTCCAACCATCAATCCACTACCACCATGACCACTAATCATGTCCTTAAGAGCCACATTTCCAGAATCTCCACAAACGGTAACTCCAGCACCTCCTCCTGCAGCCTGTCCCAATGCCTCACCACTCATTCTGAAAATAAATTTTTGATTGATAAAAATGTATCAGTATACATATGGCAAGCAATTGTATTGGAAAATGTGTTTTGCTATTGGGAAAAAGGGATTAAAGCACTATTTAGGACTAAGTAGAAAAGGACAGGCCTCTGCTGGAAAAAAAAAAAAAAAAAAAAAAAGTAATACAAAA